ATAACTGAAGTACAATTTCAACAACGATAAAACATAACTTTTTACCAGGGCAGCCGTATAAGTATTATTAGAGCACATTCCGGCGTTTGTAATTAAGACTTAATTTGTGAAATTTTTTTATTATTATTATTAACTACGAAGGTATGTACGAATGAATATCTGTATGCAAGGGGTTGGACTGGAAGGGTGGAATATTAGACGGGCCTGCCTGTCCAATTATAAACCCTATGAAAACAAAGTTTTTTGCCGTTGTATCTAAGTGATATTGCGGCTTGTGATGACATTTACAGTTTCTATTAAAACTGAAGTTACCAGTCGACAGATGTTCAATACACTGGATTTGATCCCACCATGGTTCCGTCTCTCTCCGCAGGAAAAAAAAGGAAAGAACCCCTTTCCACGCCATTAGGCGTATAGGGTATAGGACCTATATTTGTTTAGACCAATCGGCACAAGATGGGTGAGGTTGTCAGCATGGGTGAGGTCAGCCCTTACTTTCCAGGACTGCACCCGGTACCCACTCAAAGCTGGGTCGACCTGGGAGCCAAGCTAATTTTTTCAAAAAGTCCGGCTTCGCCAGTGAGCGAACTCGCGCCCTTCTGATCCGCGGCGAGCGTCTAGCCGCTTGGCCACGGCGACTCCTTTTCTCCGCAGAACGGCCAGTAACTATAATCAGCAGCCTGCTTTGCCTTCTGCTCTTCACAACTCATTGACTGTTCTACGAAAAGCGGCTAGCACTATAGGTTAGATATGCTCAAGCCGAGGACATTAAATAAGCCACACTCCACTGTCTGTCTCATCACTACATTCTATCTAAATATTAACTAGCACCAACTTCTTTTTTTTTTCACGCCTATGGTGCATTCACCATATGCTACCAGAGCCAGACATGGCCATGGCCTCTCGCAACCAACCATTAAAAAAAAAAAAAAATTAGTAGACACGCAAATGAGATGTATAAGATGCAGGAGTGACCACAAGACATACAATCGGGTATGAGCTGATGAAAGAGTTGATACAGAATCAATTCTAACTTATATACGAAGACAGCAAAAGTGGAGAAAAAGAAGGAGGAGGAGAAGAATGAGGACAGATAATATCAGATCTAACGTTTTTTTTTTTAAAATAGACCAAACAGTATTCTGTGGTTCATCTCTCTATGGGTGATGCGCTCAACATCATCTTGTCCCCATTTACTTCCCATGACAATTACCCTAGTATTCACTTTAGGCTGAGCAGATCTAAGACCAGCTTTAAAAACAAAATCTGCCACGATGCAGGTCTGAACTACACACCTACGGGATGACAGGTAAAGGTCCATATTGTTCAATACAAATTAAGATTTCAGCAGCTGCAATTCAATCTCCATCCAGGAAACTAAACACTATGGAAATGCCCAATGAGCAGTGGCATCAGTTATGATTGCATAACACAAGAAGACAACTGGCAGTAATTATTGGAAGAATATAAATTTTATTTATTTTAAATGTATTATAACATTGCAATGTTTTACATTATCATAATCTCTATCAAGTTCTCTCAAACAAACACATACACACACGCAAATACTCATATCACAACAACAGTAAGACTGAAGTGTAGTGCAACTATCCCTGACTAACCCTGTTTAACTGATGTAGCCACAAATTTGTACACATTTATTTTACGAGATACAATAATAGACATAACATATCAGAGAGCTGACACCGGTTAGTTTTTGTAGGAAAGAAATCTACAAACATTAGGCAATTAGGAAAAAAAACTTCACATTTGAAATTAAGATTATGTGCTTATACCTCTAGAAATTCACCATTTACTTAAATTAATTTCTTGTCATAATTTATTTTCATCTTATTTTAAAATTTACGACCTTAACAAAATTTGTATTAACTTTGTAAAGCTAGTTTACTTATTAGAAAAGTACAGTGATTGTTTGTTTTAAAAAAATAAAATTAAAACTAAAAAAGAACTGAATAAAAATGTGCTGATAATCTGAACCAAAAAGAAAAAATAATAAAGTGATAACCATTTTTTTCAAGGCAAATTAAGGTCACATTTTGTGAATAAGGACACTTTATTCTCTGTCACTGTTAAACAAGAAACATCGTTATGTTAGTCACATAAAGGTAACCAGATTTCATATTTTAAAGGAACAGTGTATTTCCCATGAGATAATGCAGAGTAAATAGAATAAACAAGCAATATATTACTTTGCTGAAAAATGTGTTCTTGTTATAATTTATTATGTTGGGTAACTTTTATCTTATCTACACTTATTCAGCAAACATACTCTAAAATAATGTCTAAACTTATCAGTTTAAAGAAACAATTTATGGATTTACTATTGAAACTCTCCTTTACAGGAGACTATAGTGTAAATGACATAGGGGTTTATTGTACTTATAAAAAAACATTTGACTAAAAACTTGTGTATACGCTAACTTGTCTGCCAGACACCAGACTACAGTGAGCAATATGATAGCTGTTTCCAGGCATCAGATACAGCTCAAACATTAGGTCTGGTATCTTGTGTAGTATGTGTGCTTATGTTGGGTTTGTGGAAGTAACAATGATGAATGATGTGAGTTTTGAGTTAGGTTAATGCTAGAAAGTGAACATTGTCACTGAGATGAAGTAATTCTGGAATATATGAATGTGACTAAACAATTCTATAAATGCTGTCACTGAGACAGAGGAATTCTATAAATGCTGTCACTGAGATAAAACAATTCTAGATATGTTCCCAGCTGGTAATCTCACAAGGTCTTTTTCTGGCCATCAAGGCAAATTCCATAAGCCCCATTCAACTATACGAAAGTTATAATAAGGCACCCAACAATTGCAGAACAACCAGCTGTTCAATGTGACTGGCTAATTAAGTGCAAGTGATCAATCTGAAAATGTTGACAGTTAAATTCCAGAGATGAAGAGTGAGGGAACACTTTCAGGCAACAAAATCGCGATACAAACATACACGTCTTAGAAACAATAAGTAACGACACAGAACATATTCTGCTATGAACTGCTGAGTTTGATTAAAAATAGATAAGTCAAGCATTATATATGGCTGCCATCAGAAGTATTTAGAAAAGTAATTTGTTAACAATTAAACATCTTGAAAGACTTGTTCACGTTCACTTAACTATGAACTTTTCGTAATTAAATTACATTATATACATATACAAGCAGCTTTAATACAACTCCCTTAGCTGCTTTCGCCATGAACCCATACAATCCACCAGACACTGTTGTTCACATCAACATTGCCACCATAAAACACTGTTTTTTAAAAAACTTGGATTTTACAATAGTTTTCACCAGCAATTAATTCACAGACATTGAGGGTCCTCCAATATGCTGCATAATTGTTCAGATTCTTTTGCATTTGCACATGCTATGAAAGCTATCTTCAAAAGATTCTATTTCTATGCTGGTTTTTTTTTTGGGTGTAAATCTATGTTGATGTAGTATCATGAAGGACATAGCAAAACAGTTTAATTTTTTTAAATATCCAGAAACCATGAGTTGTTAACCCTTTGGCTCGGTACAATGGATATCGCAACCCTTCTGGGAGAAATATGGCTTTTCTGCCAAACCCCATGGCGTGAACCCAAACAACACGGAGTTCATCACCTAGTTGCCGCAAAGTCAGGTTTCACCAACTACGCTAGCAAGCTGGGCAAACAGTTTAATGAAAGTTCAAATTACTCTATCCGTAGTAAAACTTCCAAATACCTGCCCAAGAAATTGACCTCCCACCTCTTAAAAATAGAAGTATGCCAATGAGCACACTATACCATTCAACGTCCATTTATATACTCTTGTAAACATTAAAAGTCACGAAAAAAACCTACATTCATGTAGACAGATTCATAAGTAATGCTGTGGGTGGGCTGTAACATCAGACAAGATTCATTTGTGGTTTTTCTCCATCCAACAGCAGTTGTGTATATGATATTTTTTATAGTGCAAATTGTATAGATAAAGAGAAAGACAATTCCAAACAGGCATAACGTTGTTAAATGACTGGGTTCACAGATGTCATTTAAATGATTTAGGTATCATCAGGGGTATGTGAAGAAACAACAGTCTGCATCACAGTTAGCCTACTAAGAAATTTCTTATACATAGAAATATTACTGACTCAATGTCTTGATACTTGATAAGAAAAAAAAGCACAAAGCTGTTGGATGCAACATTTCACTGGTTGCTGTTTTCTTATTGTTTTTTTTTTAAAATAGAACTCTAAATGTATATTCAACAAAAGTTTTATGCTATGTAAACAAATTGCTTTAAAAAAAAAGTAAATGTAACAAGAGAATTCTACCTAAAGAATTTAGTAACTTTTTCTCACATAAAACATACTATTTTCTTCTATTAAAAACATTAGGAATATTTGTCTATAAAATATATGTTACTAGAAAATTGTGCCTCTATCTTGTTTTTAAATAAACTTTTTTTAAAACTGAGAATGACAGTAAAGTTTTCTAAGTAAATAACCCGAACAATCTGAAGACACTTGTTAATATCACATTTTTATAAGGTAACATATCGTGTTGTACCCAGCTTCTTGTGTTTATATTCAATAACATATGGCAACAGACTCATATAATCTACAGACATTTCATGGTCCACTCCGTATAGATCACAAAACTCTTGACAGTATATCTCGTCTCAGCAGCACACGTAGGAAAAAGCAAACTACCACGTCATTATCCTAACCAAGCCAGTTTTTTTTTTTCTGACAATGACAAAAAACATTTGTTTTCAAGCATAATTTTTTCAGCACTAACTGAGTACTGGCATTTTTTTCTCGGGGGAAAAAAACCCCTGCTATTATCAATTTTTCAAAATATCACCTGATGTTTTCACAATGGTATTGTCAATTCAGGCCTCGTCATAATTTTTGGGGATAAAAATCAAGTTTGGCCACTCAATAATTACGTTTTGTCACAATAAACAAATGCACAAAACAATTCATACATTCACCCAAAACACAATCAAAGGGGACTACTGCTGCTGCTTGTGGGACTCAGCTTCTCAGAATCACTATTGAGACTCTCATCCCCAGAATCTGTTCCTTTTTCCCCATGCAGGTCCTTCTCAAAGTCAAGAAGCTGGCCCATAAAAGTGAAGTTTGGAGAAATGTTGGGCTTGCACATTTTCACATGATCATATGCTTGATTTAATGTCATGTTTTCTCGGCACATTAAATAAGCAACTGTGACTGTGACAGATCGACTGATACCTGCTAAACAGTGGACAAGGATGCCTTTCTGATTGTTTCGTGCTTCATCTGTGAAAGACAAAAATAGCCTACTGAAATTTTTGTTGTAAAATCAAGTCTTGCTCATTTGAATAAACTACAAGACTCATAAAAATTTTAACATTTAAAAACTCAACATTATCTTTGTGGCAAAGGAATTTACAAAGTAAACTTTAATACATCAGTGTAGAGCTTTTATTTATTTTCCATATGCAGCATTATCCTTTCAAGCCCAGGAAGACAGACTGGAAAACACATTTCAAAATGAAGTAGGATGTGACAACCAAAAATCGCAGATATCAGTTGTTGCTATAAACAGGTATAATGCAACTACACCATTCAAACAAATAAAGAAGAAGATTCTTCAAGCTTTATGTTACGAATTACAGAAAATCAAACACGCCTTCTTCTTCTTCATGTTCACGAGCCGTAATCTATGGTGAAAAGTTATGGCTGTTTGTCCACTTCTGGACTTAAGTCGTGTTTCAGAACTTGAGTTCTGTGAGCACAACCATTTTACTATTTGGCTTATCTGTATGCAGACTGCTGGTTCCTTGCCTCACAGGCAGATGCACTTTGAAGGAAATTGCTAATCAGTCGACTCTTTAAAGACATGCTTGTTAGGTGGGCACTGGGTCTATTATTTTGTTTTCCTCCACAAAGGGCCCCAGAACCTACAGGGAAAAAACATGCCCTAATTTTGGTATGTTATTTGCATATCCAATACAGGACTTTGCAGAACCAACCCCAGCATTCACTGTTGTGGTTTTTCAAGGCAAATTCACGTCTAGTAGTTTTGCCATTGCTTTCTGGATAGTCGGCTTCTCGACACCACTGTCGAAACCAACGCAAGGCTCGCAGCTGGGATCAAACCCGGCACTACAAAGTGCGTGCGCAACACTTTAGCCACAGACGTCAACCAATGTTGGCATACTCATTTGTTTTTAAAAGTATTTTAGTGGATATGATTTGTTAAGTGATAAACAAACATACTATGACAACTGGCCAGATGTATGAAAATGGAGATAAAGAAAGACAATAAGATACATATCTAGACATTGTGTTTTATAATGGCATGGGAAGGTGTCACAAATGTGGTCAAGCAGCAGTTGCCCACACTAGTGATCAAATCAATTCATGATGATGACTGTATCTGAAGATCATGGGGTTTGTTTCACAGCTAAATCGTTAGGTTCGTAAGTGTAGTTTTTTTTTTTTTAAAGAGATCAATGGGGATTGTAGCTAGAGCTACAGATTGGGTGCTTTGTGCAATGCTCTCGATCAGCAGCTGGCCAATGTGCAGAAATAAGACTGAGCCATGTCAGACAAAACCAGGTGTAACAAGTCAATGCTTTTGAGTTAAACTGATGCTACAGACATAGGAACTTAAAACATATGTGGACTGAGATGAACACTCCACCCCCTTTTTTCTTATACCAGCATTCTGAATATGAACATCCTGTCTTCTATATCAACAGCCATATACTGATTCATAACATGTCATTCTGGACATAATGACAGAACTCAACACCAATGAAGAATTAATATTTGGTTTATAGTTTTGCACCAAGGACAACTTTTAGGAGGATTTCTCCATAAATTTTCAACAATATAAATTATCCACGCACACAAAAATAACCTAATTAATTCATCGACAAGAATACTTTCTACAACACTTTCTGACAGAATATATGAAAAATAATGTGGAACTATGTTTTTATGTATAACTACTTACCAATAAATTTGATTGCTTGTGGAAAGAACGATGAGAGATTCTGAGACCAGTGGTCGGAGATTGGTATCTGCAGGTATTTAAAATTCTTCTCATCTTCAAATGTGTTGGGGACATTGGCGGTCACATTCAGGATGTAAGAGATACCATACTTTTTGAGCTGGTTCAAATCTGCTGAGTTCTTTGCACTTCCGAGGTAGAGGTATGGCAACACTTGAACAGGGAATGGGCAGGTGATGGGGCTAGCTGTGCTACAGGTGGACAAATTGTCGCTGTCACTGAATTTAGGCTCATCAGATATTCTGAGATTGCATAAGCCAATGATGTTGCTCTCCTGGTCCTGACTCTGGCAGTATTCAGGGAACCGTTCTTCAAAAGTTGAGAACCCACCTGTAAAAAATAATGAAATAATTTCTGATTAAAATTTGTGAAAACATTTTTGTTAATATCAACATTAGTAGAGAATCCACATATAAAATGCAGATACAAAAAATGTTTAATGCATTTTTATAATAGATATTTGCTAATGTTTAAACTGAGAAGGAAGTATGTTGGTTCAGTGGCTACTGTAACTGGCTACCAGTTCAGTGGTCAAAGATTTAAATTAATCCAAAATTGATTATATATTGACCAGATAGTTCCGCAAATGACAGCCTCATCAAACAGCCACAGGAAAATATGTGTACAGATATGACAGCCAACAAGTTATCTAGTACATTTTTATAAAGACGGTTTTGAGTCAATTCGGCCACAACCCCTCCCCCTCCCTTTTTAAAAATGTAAGAAGGCAGACAACCCTCACGAGTCTGTGTGGATGGAGTCTACGGCCCCTGACGCACACATGCAATGCTACGTGGCTATGAAAATAGAATGAAAACCGTCAGTGAAAATATGCCAAATTAAAGGACGGTTTGTGGGTCTGAAATGTCACAACCTTGTCACCACCGACTTCCCCAAGATTCGTGTTTCATCTCCCAGCTCAAATACCAATTTTCAGCACTCTTTCGAGCAGCGACCCTAGGGAAGATGCAATCTATTGTAACATGACTTTAACTATCCACCGAAGTCGCATAATCACAGCATAGCTGTAAACCACAACATAATTGTAGGTAGGGAAAGGCGGAAGAAGAAGATGTTTCAAGGTCATTAAAATAATGTCAAATACTGTGTCTTGGGAAAGAACTAACAGGCTTTTCAAGAGATCTGAAACTAATGTGATACAACATATATTCAAGCACACAGCAACCTTGAACTAGGTTTATCGATATTTTTATCAAAGCGGCTGTAATACCACGGAAATTCCCTGATCCTAAAATGTCAGATTTGGAGGGAAACTACATTTTCAGACCAGGTACAGACCGATCGATAGCCCGTAGCCCGCTTGTTTTCATCACCAGTTGTGTTTTCAAAGATAAAAACCAGGTCGGGTCAATTGAGAAAGTAGTTCGTCCACTCCATTCACACGTGCGCATATTTCTCATTAATTTCTTGTTTTGTTGACATCCAGCAATCCAGATGGTTACGTTTCATTATTTCAAAAGTCGAGTAATCCAGATCGTGGTAAGCTAATTTTGTCCATTAGTTTACACAATCATTCTCAATGTGCACTTAAAAAAATATTTTATAAAGTGTTTTCATTTTCCCCTCCAGGGTTGCAGCATTAAACTGACCAAGCAACACCCGCCAAGCCTTCATAGCCTTTGTCATCACCAGCAGCTAACCCTATCTCCCCCCCCCCCCCCATCTTTTCCAACTTAGTAACTAAAGTCTTTAATATAGTGTATTTTGAAAATCTCCTTTTATTTCTCTGGCTTTGTTGGTTCTAGTGTATAGACATTCAAGTTATTAAAAAAGTCGACGTTTCTTTCACAGAATGTTCATTCTGTAACCACTAGAGAATTCTGTACTGACTAGAGAATGAGCTTGCCCTGTCTTGAATGAAGGACCAGTGCTGATGAGCCAAAACCAAACCAAACCACTGAGTGCATGTTAACCCAGCCGTAACCTGTCTATCTACGAGTATAATGTGTAACTTTATATGGCAAGATTTTCATTTTATACTGAATAACATATTTAGTCATTTTTACAGATTAGAAGAAATGACAAAACATGAAGTTCCTGATGATTATATACTTAATGCTGAAGATACAAGTCCATAAATCGAGTGATCAGAACAGTCAACAAAACAGAATACTAACCAAACAGACACGGAGAACACCGGGGGGGGGGGGGGGGGGGGGGGGGGGGGGGGGGGGGGGGGGGGGGGGAGGTTCCCTAACTAATCGAATAATCAACTTAAAAATATAAGGGATGGAACAGCATAAACACTGATGGCTGAGTGGTTCTCAGGACTAGTTTTTGTGAGGATTTCATTAGCAAAACGTAACATTCAGCTGGGAAAGCAACAGAGCCAGCATGAAGTGGAGACCGAAGTTAAGAATTTATAAGAATTATTTCCAATCACACAAGAAGAAAAAACATTAACTGTTTTTTATCAACCTATTTACCAGATGTGATAAGAGGGTAGGGCAATGATATCTATGTTAAAAATATGCGATGTTAACATACCAACAATAAACTTGCGACTGTGGTGAGAAAACTAACTTACCAAGAAGAAAAGTTGCCCGGCAACCATCCTGTCTCAACTTTTTCACCAACAAGCTGATCACGGAAGATTGGTTAGCGTTGATATCAGTAGAGCACTCGTCGTACAACACAATTGTGGCGGTTTTGGAATACTTCGTAAAACGTTCTTTAGCTTCATTGTTCTGAATCACGGAGGAAATATTCAAATTTCCTCGTTTTAATCTTTTGAGCATTAATGATGGCAGCGTGACATTGATAGCTCCTCTGATGTGAGAACGAGTATATTCCGATTGCGAACGGCAGTCAATTATTAGCAAGTTCTTAATGTTTTTGCTAATTTCATCGCGGAGTCCGTCCGGACAGAGGTAATCTCCAACTTCGGATGTCATTATGTTGAACACATCTTTGCAAGGCATCTGAACACAATGAAGAAATAAACGAAGGTAAGTTGCAGTTTTCACCGATTATACGTACAATTAACAATTCATTTCATGTGAGTATACTTTCATGTGAGAGCTAACTATTTACAAGTTTATGTCTTTAGGATTGAAAAAGCATAGTATACAAACTGACAAACTTTAAAATCCACGAACGAACAACGTAGAACACTTGCCTTGTGAAGTTTTCTGTTTTGGGTGAATGAAAAAGATTTTTTTTTTCGCTTCCTAGTTGAGCCAATTTTGAAGTACGGGAACCAAGTATAAGTTACTGTATGTATATTCTATACAAACTATACAGATAGCAGGAATCTCGTCCTTTTTCTGAACTATACAATCATTTATATTTCTCCTGCCAGTTTTATTCGGCTACAGCTTCCACTGCAATTTAAATAAAGTTGAAAGGGGCAAACCGATGTTTATAAACATAAACTAGAAAAGGACATTTTTTTCTTGTTCTCTGTGTAAGCCAACATATACAACTTCACTGCAGAGCGCCGAGAGCTTTCGGTTATTATACCTTCAGTTACCCCCAAAACCGCGGCCCCTGAGTTTTTAGCGCTCCACCAATCAATGTGAAGTAGGTCGCCAGACTCCGCCTATTCTCGCACATTCCTTATTCGGGGGGCCTACATGTAAACGTAGGCCCTCAAACATGGCGGCCAACTAAATATACTATCCAATCGTTGACCTGGGAATTTACGCGATTTTCTAAAAATAGCAAATTCATCGCCCTAGTTTTTTTCTTTTCTTTCTTGTTTTGTTTTGTTTTGAAACGTCATATCCCATCAAGTAACGGACCGAGGTCGTTTGGCAGAGCGCCAAGCGTTTCTCTTATCCCGTCAGTGAATGATTATAGTGTGGCTAGGTTACCCAGCCATTCAGTTAGGCAGAGCTGTATAATTTGAAAGGCTTCTAGGACGCGTCGTCTTGAATGGGGGGGTAAACAATTTGTTTTCGCTCACAGGAGTTGAAGACAGGGAAAAGAGAAGTTGGGCCTGCTGTATCAGCTTGGCGCGGAAATACAGATATTCATGTTTTACCAAAAATAAATGTCTTTTTAAGGTTATTGCCCTGCTTTCATGTAGTAAAAATAAAGTTGTAGCTCCGTAATAATTTAGTCTTTTCATGGAAACAAAAGCTATCAAATACAGAGGTACTGTGGAAATTGGGAATGAAAAGAGAGTTGCTAGGTGAAATAAAAAAGAGACAAGTGAAATATTTTGGTCACATTAAAAGACATAACAGTATTGTAAAGATCATCCTAGAGGGAAAGGTTCAAGGTAGGCGAGCAAGAGGCAGACAGCGTTACAAGTGGAGGATAACATCAAAAGATGGTCGAACAGCAGTATGAGTGAGTGTACATCAAGGGCAAGAGACAGGGCTTGGAGATCCATTGCAGCCAACCTTCATTGTGGAGACGGCACCTGATTGATTGATTGAATAATTTAGTCAATCAAATACGGTTTTTCACAATGAAAGTAGTTGTAACTTGTTTCGAAAACGCTGCCTTTCGCCCTCTCTCAGACTATTCGTCCATCTTTTGATGCTATCCTGTCAAGTGTATCAGTATTTCACTCGTATTTTTTTTTAAATTGTTTTTTTCTTTGCCAACTTTTTTGTTTATTCATAGTCTCCACAGATCTTCTGTATTTGATTGCATTTTTGTGTGTGTGTGGTATACCCACATCTTAAGAGACATGCACCATTTTCTAACTTGTCCAGGTTTCTGTGCTATACTGTATGGTTGAGTAATAAGGTCAAGATAGTCACAGATCAGAGTAAATGGAGGACAGTCAACCGAATAGTGAAAACTGCGCACTTGTTGCTTTACAAAAGAATGATCAGAACACAGTGGTCATTAAAACCATAATGGAGATGTCCTGAGAGACACTTCCTTACTCGCGATGAAAGCTAATCGCCGCAACATTCTCTGCTTGTTCATTGTAACTGGTTTTGTGAAGTTAACATAAGCTATTTTTTTTCTTACCTCTTGTTCTGTTTGTCGGCGTCTGTGGCTTAGGCGTTGCGAACGCGCTTCGTAATACCAGAGTGCCGGGTTTGATCCCTGCTGCGGCGATTTGTCTTAGTTGGTTTCGACAGTATAACCGAGAGCTGACCGTTGAGAAAGCAACGGCAAACTACTGAACCTAAAATTTGCCTAGAGAAACCACAACAGCCATTAAATGCTGGGGTTGGTTCTGCAAAGTCCCATAAAGGGTGTGCAAGTTGTTGTTCGGTTTCTTCTTTTCCCGAAATCTTTTTTTTTTTAATTTACCTGCGTAGGACTGCCGGTTACTCCTGTCTGGTGTAGCCCTCACAGGTGCCCTAATTATAACTTCTTAAGGGATTGAGTGGGATATCTAGGATATGCCTTGTTGGTATACCATCCAGAGTGAGATTGTAGCCTACGGGGGACAAACTGATCGATCGATCGATCGCACTTGAGGAAAATTAAGTCACAGGGGGAAAAATATTAACTACGCCACCGGTACAGAAATAGAGTAGACAGGATCATGTTCATTCTTATCCATTTTCACGCCTTAGGCGCATCAGACACAGGCGAAAAGCACCCATATTTTTACAGTCCAATCGGCACTAGGTGGGTAATGTGATCAGCATTAAGCCGGTCGTATCGATTTCATTGCTTTGTGCTTAATCCCATATAGCTCAGTCACGACCGGCTGCAGCTGACAGCTGGAGCCGGTCGTGGCTCAGTCCCTGTCTGCAGAACGACTATCCATTAGCCAGCCGAGATCGTCGCACAAAGTGCGAACTCCGTGGCTTTTGCGACGATCTAAAACTATGAAATCTAATAAGGTCAACGGATATAACTATAAATGTATGTTTTTACTCAGAGCGTGTTTCTAGTTTTCTTTAAAAAAAAAAAAAAATGGCGCTTGGAAGTACCCACAGAACGGACAGGGACACACCTAACAACGCGACTGGCCCGGCGAAAACGGGACGTATGGTGACCCTCGACATCCAGTAGCGTTTAGTCTCCTGCCGGAGGTCACAGGTGACACTAATTAATGTAGACGTTAAGCCAAAATTAGACACACACACACACACAAACACACACACTCGCACGTGCGCGCGCACACACACACACAGACAGAGAGAGAGAGAGAGAGAGAGAGAGAGAGAGAGAGAGAGAGAGAGAGAGAGAGAGAGAGAGAGAGAGAGAGAGAGAGAGAGATGCAAACACTAATACACCATAATGTTTGAATAGAAAAAAATGCGCTCATTATTACATCACCCTCGGCGTTACTAAAACTATTACAACAGTGGTCAAGATCATCACTATTTTTAATTATCGAGGTGCGTAAAAGGATTATCTCCCTGCAGACACGGAATTGCGCAAATAGTGCGTTACGATCGTCCAAATGACTCAGGCCGGCAATAACAAGAGTTCAAGCACAGTTACCTTCCTTGCTCATTTGCTCATCTAATTTTATTTACTTCACGTGTCAGTTAATCATAGCGATCCTGCGTTTTATTTGAAAGCAGTACTTATCTCGTAGAGAATAGTGGCTTTTGAACTGAAATGATATAGAAAGATTCTCTCATAATATCTTACTGACATCTTGAAAGAACTGAACATCAAGGAAGATTGGCTAATAAACAGCATCCTGTCTCGGAAGCTGAAATATGTTGGTCATTTCAAGCGCCCCTGCGGATCAGAAAAAAATAATAGCATAAGGCATAAGGAAGGAGGGGCAGGGGCCGACCAACACGGAGATGGGCACAGGATATAAGTGACTTCATGAGTATGAAAGAACATGAAGCGGAAGAGCTGACGAGAGATCGAGTTTCTTTTAGGCAGACCGTGATGAGAGCGACGTTCTGCAAAGGACCTGCTGCATGATGATGACTTATCTCATGTAGCCACATGCAGAAACATGCCTTTATACTGACTGTTCGTCGGCGTCTGTGGCTTAGGCGTTGCGAACGCGCTTCGTAATGCCGAGTTTGATCCCGGCTGCGGACGAATAATCTTGCGTTGGTTTCTAGTGTGGCACCGAGAGCTGAACGTAGAGAAAAATGGCAAGCTTCTGAACGTAAAATTCACCTAAAAAAAAAAAAAAATAACAGCCAAAAAATCCTGGGATTGGTTTTGCAACGTCCTGCAAAGGATATGTCACTAACTTTAACTGACTGTTCATCTAAAGATTCAAACAAACAGTAGGTGTCATCATAACAATGATGGGTATCTGCCAAGGATCTCCACCACACTCTCTGACGTCTTGGCAGCACATTCGGGGACTGATATTAGCCGATCTCTTAAACGTATTTCCCTATTTGTATCACTGTCTACCCCTTGCTTGCTATTTTCCTTCCAGTGTAGTTCTTACATACGTTATGTCATATAATGTCGTCAAAATACTTTGTTTAGTAACTCTTTTCACTATCAGTCTTCAGGACATCTGTATTAAATTGCTTTTGTTTCCTTGATATTCTTGTTGAATTCAATGACTTGTAGATGAATTTTGCAAGGGTAATTATTTAATCTCTCCTGTCCATTAAATTATAATTTAAATTATTGTTATCTTTTTTTTTTTAATTGGTGACACTTGTATGAATTTTACCTAAAAATGTTGTTTAAAGCGCGCGCGTGCACGTGCACGTATGTGTATGTGTTCGCGTGTGGTTTATAATGACTGCATTTGTGTAAAGCTGAGCAACACTGTATATTTTTGGATGCAGTACATTCTTCTTCTTCTTCTGCGTTCGACATCAGTCATGTTAAACATTGAGTCCCGTCTGGGTCACAAATAGGATTGTGCGTTTAAGGTCGCCACTGGTACCACATAGATTCTCATGCAATGCGCTCCCTTGGGCCAGATCCAGTCTTTGCTGGGGGAGGTTAGGGCAGTGCTGCAGTATGTGCTCAGGGGTCTGTCTTTTTGCTCCACAATCACAGGCAGCAGATTCGTTTATGCCTATCCTGTACAGGTTTGCTCGAAGACCACAGTGTC